CAACTTTCAAACTGGGAGGACAGTGACCCTGAGGGTGACACCGGATGTAAGCACATCCCCCTTCCCACTCTCCCAAGGTGAAATGGGAACTGGCAACCCCAATGGCCTCCCTATGTGGTAAAGAAGAAGTTTAGCTAGATGCCCCCAAGTGTTTCCCGCTCTGGGATAACTCCCCCAAGCTAGAGGAGCCCAGGATTATGAACTAAGACCAACTGAGGCCTCAGACCCAGTGAGGTCATGTGAGGACACAGGTGTTTGCCCCGGGAGCTGCCCCAGGCTGGGAGGGAGAGTTTGCTGGGAGGAGTTTGAAGCCCAGGCCCACCTGGGCAGCACAGGCCTCTGTCTGCACTCCAGTGGCCTTCCCTTCCCAACTGGCAAGTTTTGGCAACAGTGGGCTGGACTTAGGGCTTCTATCTACCCAACATGGGAAATGCCAAAGCCCGAATCCCCTTACCGCATTCTTTCTACTCTGGAGTCCATCTTCCCTAGGAATCAGGATGGCCTCAGGGAATCCCGGGCTGGCTGCACGCCGGCAGGACCGCCCTCCCTTCCAGCTTGGGTGAGCAGACCTCACCCAGGCTGTTCCCCTCCCCCCCTTCCTGAAACTTGGAGGAAGAAGCTAAGCCTGGAAAAAGCACCCTCAGCCACAAGCTCCCTGTGGTTTCGAGAAAGGCGAAGGGAGCAAGGAGCACCTTCCCTGGCTGGCCACAGTATGAGGCGCCATTCCAGGGGAGAAGAGCAACGGCTGCCAGGGAAGAGAGGGATCAGACACCCCGGATCTCTCTACCAGCCTCCCCACTCGCCCACCAGCAAAAGGCTCTGGCAGGGAGACCCCTCCCCACCCAACAAAACCTCAGCTTTGCTGACTCCTTCCTATAGGCTATTCCGGTACTTCTCATCCTTGCTCCTGCTTCGGGAGGGGAAGGGCCAAGAGGCGCTTGAGTGGGACAACTCCCACCTCAACTCCACCCAAACGGGCAAGGGAAAAAACCCTAAGTACCTTGTCCTAGGCTGCAAAGCACCTATGCCCACCCAGGTGAGCCGTTCAGCCCGAGGCCTGGGAGGGTAAGTTCCCCAGAGCACAAGGTGACCTCTGGGAAACCAAGCTCTTAACTCTCTTCTCCAGGGACAGTCTCTTGTAACAGCATGGACCTGGGCAGCCTGAAGTAAACCACTTGTAACCCAAGGAGTTAGAAAGCAAACTTCATTTGAGCAAGCTACAGCGGCCCCCACACTGCTTTCCCACCACAAGCAGAACATCCTTCATTTCCTCCTCCTCCCCAAACAGGAGCTGGACCTGCCCCTAGTGAACGGACAACTAGCATTTATTACAGACCTACTTCCTATCAGCCCGTCGATTTGCATTTATTACAGACCTACTTCCTATCAGCCCGTCGATTTGCATGCGTAATCCTGTCCCACCTTTATGGCCACTGTACAAAGTACTACTCTCCTCTCCATTTTACAGAGGAGAAAACTGAGGGTCAGGAAATTAAGCAGCAGCAAAGCTAGAGTCCAAGCCTGGGGCCATTCCCATACACCCACCAGGCTCCCTTCAGTCGCTGCCAGGCGACGGTCCACACACCGTCCAGGAATGGTGCTGCACTGTGGAGGCAGAAGTGGGCGCGGACGAGCTTTGCTTGATGGCTCTGGAATTCGAATTGATGCCCCCCCCATCTGTTACAGTTCCCAAGACTGTGAGAGCTCGAGTAAGTGTGCAAGAGGTAGGGGTGGGAGGAGGGTGATCTAGATTCCAAAGAGCAGCCTCCAACACAGAAGTTATGCCGTAATGTTTCTGATTCATGAAATGAGCTCACAGTCTCAGTGTCCCGAATGCTGCTTCGAATGCAAACGCAGGTCTCCCTGCTAAGAACTGGGAGTTTCAGCATTCCCAGTCCAGGGTGCAGTTTCCTCCAGCCACTCAGGGAGTTATGATGAGCAGAAGCAATTTCTCCAACAAAAAGCCACCACTGGCTGCATTTCCTGCAGTCTCCAATGAGTCAGGAAAAAGTAGAGTTCCCCCACACATACACCACACAGACAGACACAGACAGACAGACAGACACACACACACACCCCCCCCACACACACACACACACAAAGCGAGCCAACCTGTCCTAGCCAAATGAAATGGCCGGTTTAGCAGATCTCCAAACAGGAAGTTCTACAACTCTCATTGTGAGGTCCCTGTGGGGTCAGGATGACAGAAACACAGGTTCCCTGAGGCTAAATGCAGAGTGGCATCAAGGAACAAGATGTACCAACCAAACACCAGTATCACTTGTGGTGGACTGGTCCTCTTGAGATGAACAATACAGTGAGGTGGTCCCTGCAGGAAGGGAAGGACTCACTGGCCTTTAACACAGCAAATCCCCTGTGAGTTCGAGAACAGCCTGGACTACCAAGTGAGTTCCAGGACAGCCTCCAAAGCCACAGAGAAACCCTGTCTCGAAAAAACAAAAACAAAAAAAAAACCACAGCAAATCCCATATAGCCCAACCAGGATGGCCTTGAATTCACGAGCTCAAACAATTCTCCCACGCAACTGTCCCACACCCACCTTCCGAGTATCTGGGACTAAAGGAGGGTGCCACTAACCTTGGCAAGTGCTTTTTTTGGGAGAGGGGAGGTGGAGATGGCTCACTCAATTACCTAACAGGTACTAAACTCTTACTAGATGCCAGGCATTGTGGAAACAGCAGAAGCTTTCAATGCTTTGCATGTATTAACTCAGAATCCTCACATCAACTCTATGAAAGAGAGCCTATGTTTCTGATACCATCTATATGTGCAAATACAGCAGCAGTTGGATTTCAGAAGAAGGCCTTCAGCAGTGACACGTGAAACAGGACTAAAGGGACAAGCAGCATCTCCCAGCTCCTCATGTCCTCACCCAGCATCAGCAAACTTTTCTCTGGAATAGCATACTATCAAGGCTAAACATATGTGGTCCGGCCAGGCGTCGGTGGTGCACGCCTTTAATCCCAGCACTCGGGAGGCAGAGGCAGGCGGATCTCTGTGAGTTCGAGGACAGCCTGGTCTACAGAGCGAGTTCCAGGACAGCCTCTAAAATAATACAGAGAAACCCTGTCTCGAGAAACCAAAAAAAAAAAAAAAAAAAAAAGTTTGTGGTCCTGGCTCACTAGCCAGGTGACTCTCCATCTTTTACCCACCCGACAAGACTGTCCCCAGGTTCTGCAGCCATGGGCAGCCCTCAAATGCATATACAACTGCATGTTCCCCCCCCCCCTTCCACTTATTAAAAGCAGCAGCACAGGATTTTAAAACTAAGGCTATTTTTAAAATCCCATGTTTAAAAGTTAAACTTTCATCCTTCCAGGCATTCCAAGGAACTCTTTCTGGAACTGTGGGCTTGGGGCTGCCACAAAGACAGCCGAGAGGCCTTTCCCAGAGCAAACTGTAAACCTGGGGACAATCTCCAGACTCTTTTCACCCCTTGACCCCTGGGAGCTCCAGACCAGAGAAACCAGCCAGAGGCCAATGCAATTAGAATGGAGACTGGGCCAGGGCTGTGCAATGAGATGGTTTATCACAGTAATTGAATGTTTACACCCTGCAGAGCAGCAGGGAAGAGAGGCCCCAGAAGTTCTCAACCGAATTGTCTGTCCCTTTGGGTTCTGGAGTCATCTGACCAGGCCAGGCCGAAAGAGGGCATTTCTCTGAGGCTAAAGGTGCATACTTTCCCTGATTACCTCTGGTCTCAGAACGACGGTTTCACCCCCTCACCTGAGATACAATTCCATCTTCACCAGACCATCTTAGTCTAAAACTTCAGGGTTAGGATAACCCAGGCCTCCAGGCCAGGCTCCCAGTGCTCGATGAAGCCTCTTCCCCCGTCCCCAGGCACCATGATCCTCTCCACTCACGTGCCACGAGAACCTCAAAGACGAGCCACTGCTCCCCTATCCTGCCTCCCCTGAGCAAACAGGTCCGAAGAGGGACAGTGGAAACAGGAAGTAGCCGCCGAAGTTGTAGCCAACAAAGTTTAAAACAAGGCAAGAAACTTCCCCTTTCTTCTCTCTAGCAGCTCAGGCCAGAGATGGCTTGGAACACTCAGTGGCCTCCCATTTGGATGCCAGAAGCCTCCTCCAGGTCTGCCTTGGTTCTGAGGCTTGGAAGCCCCGGGTACCCAAAGTTCTTCAGTTTCCCAAAGTTTTTTTTAAGGCCTGGGGGGGTGGGCGCAGCAGAGGTCCGCATGCCCCTCATTGTGCGCGTGTGAGGCGGGGGAATGATTAACTCCAACGAGCCCGCCATATGCAGGGCCCAGTCGAACCCGGGCTCCAAAGCTCACGACAAGCACCATGGAACACAAGACCCGGCCACGGACGCGGGCGTGCGGGGGCGGGCGAGGCAGATGACAGGTCTGAGGTGCACCAGCATGCGGGGTGAGGCGGCTCCACGCTCGTCGTCCGGCCCGCGCTCTCTCCGAGCTCCAGCCTAGGCCTCTCCAGCCCTGGCCTCAGTTCCCCGTCCCCATAACACCCCCCCTCCCCGAGGTCTGTCCCCGCAGAGTCCCCGCGCAGACACAGCGCCCGCTCCAAGTTCTCGCAGCTCGCGAGCCTCTCGACGCGCCTCCCCGGCCCGTGCCGCCAGCGAGTCCCTGCGGTCACCACGTTTCTCTCGCGCGCGCAGGAGCAGCAGCCGCAGTCCCCAGCCGCCGGTGACGGGTGTGGAGAGGCTCGGGAGGGCTTTCCAGCCGGGGCCGCGCCTGGGTGGGCGGGCCGGCCGCGGGCGAGCTGCGTAGCTGCACAAACACGGCGGGGCTGCGCTGCACACGCAGCTGCGGGGCGCGGGCCGGGCGGAGGAGGGCTACGGTGGCCCACGTACAGGCTCCCGCCGCCCCGCAGGCCGCAGAAGTTGGCCCCCGGGGACCCCCGCGTGTGCAGAGCTGCAGCCACCTCCTGCACGGTCGCCCCGGGGTCTCCTCGCGGGCCGTGCCGCCTGCAGGCCTCGGCCGTCCCCCGAGCAACACCACTTACCCAGCTCCCGCTCGGCCTCCGGCCCCAGCAGTCTCCCTTCCTGCCGCCGCCGCCGCCGCGGGTCGCCTCCGAAGAGCCCAGCCGCCTGCACGCACTCCCGGATTTTAAAAACAAACAGGCGCCGTCGCCTCCCCGCGGCGTTCGCGAGGCTTTCGCCAAGCCCGCGCCTCCCGAAGCTGGGAAGTTTGCTGGCAGGGCCCGTGCGGGACGTGCGTGCTGTCACCCACTGATCGAGACACGGCAGCCTCGGCGCGCCTCGCGCCCTTACAGTCCGCCTCGAGAGCGCTCTCCCTCCCTGCGTGTCACCCCCAGTCCTGCGATGCAGTGTCAGGATTGCACGACTCTGACTCATCGGTTGAGCTCACAGCTTGAAAAAAAAAAGGGGAGAGAGAGAGAGAGAGGGCGGGAGGCAACAGCGAAGGAGGAGGACTCGCTGGCGTGCTACAAAGGATTGCACAACTCGAGGCTGGGAGCGCCGAGCACCCAGTGGCTGGCCGGCGCGCGCGGCACGGCGGCGAGCAGGAACCAGCTCTACCACTTCATCAGCACAACTGTCTCTGGGCGGCCTCTCCGCCTGCAAGCTCCGCGCCGCCCACTTCCTGCGACCAAATAAGGCCTGGGAGGCGTCTTTAAACCTCAGGGCGGCTGCCGGGGTTGGGGATTTCCAGCAGACCTCACCTCCACTTGCAGAGGCTTTGGCCACCCTCCACCCCAAGCCTAGGCCTGAGCCGCCCCCATCCCCCACCCCCCCACCCCATGGCTCTTCTGTGACCAACAGGCCACGCGGCTTGTTTCTTGCACACCAAGGTCAGGAGGAGACAGTGACGAAATGTTTGGAAACCCATCCAGCCTGCCAGGAAAGAGTGTGTGTGTGTGTGTGTGTGTGTGTGTGTGTGTGTGTGTGTGTGTGTGTGTGTGTGTGTGTGTGTGTGTGTGTGTGATGGTGGAGAGGGCACAAGTCGCTCTCCTCCACAAAGAAAACGGTGGCTTTGGGGACAGTAAAGCATGCACAATCCTCTCTGAGGCACTTTATTAGCAGCCTTGCTGGGTTTCGATTTCTAAGCACCAGCCTGCCCATGGTCTGAAGGTTGTAGAGAAACCAGCCCTGTCCCTATAAAGGACTCATGTGACCATTGCTTAGGAGATGAAAAGCTCCTGGGTTGAATTCTCACAACTCAGGCCTAAGTTGGGCAGCGTTGACTCTAGGCCACATCCCTGCCCTTCTCCCCCTTGCTTTCCTTAAACGGCCCTGACATAATTTTCTGGTCCTAGCCTGTGATGCCTCTCTTCCTGTTTGATGAATGATGGGAAAACTCAAGAGGTCTTCCAGAGATGAGGGAAAGTCAGATGTCTTTTGCTGTTTGGATGTTGTTGCTTCTTAAGATGAGTCAGAAGGTTTTTCCTTTGAAGGAAAAACCACTGAGGAGCACACTGTGTTCTGAGAGACACTTTCCCCTGCGACCCATCCTAAGCGTCAGGTGCATCCCTTCCTGTCTCAGAAGTGGAAGGGCAGCAGAATCGTTCTTGCCCTGAGCTTGCAGGGCCTGGGCCTTCACCTTACCTAGAGAGTGGATGACACAGACAACAGAGGACATGGCTTTCCCAGACACCCCCTTCCACCTCTCTGCTGGCCTCACTGCTACCTGTGTGCATCTGCACCTGGATGGCACTCCTTCCCCCAGAGGAGTCATGACAGGCAGGCCAAAGAATTTTAGCTACGAAGTACCAGCAAGCATGTCAGGGGACTAGACCCGATGACATCTTAAAAATCTCCTCCAGTTTAAGATCCATGGTTTTGTGATTGTGGAGCCTGGGGAACCCCTTTCTACAAAGAAGAGTCCAGACACCCTGTCCCAGTTTAGCATCTGCCAGGACGCCTCCCCATGCAGCCACTGAACAGCTGTGTGAGCGTAGTCTAACACTCTCATTCATCGGATGGGAACACAGATCAGAGAGCTTGCATGCCTTGCCTAAGGTCACAGGGTAACTCAATCATCTGTCACCTCTCTTCCTCCAGTGCCCCAAAGAGTAGGTCACTGACCAATTGAGGTACACAGCACCCCCCACCCCCCAGTACAGGCTGACTCTCAATGCTCCTGGCAGAGGCCAGGTCTAAAAATCATTTTGGTTTTTCCATTTGCAGGGTTCTTCCTCCCTGTGGCAGGCAGCTCATCCAGGTGAGAAAGACAAAAACACACACTTGGTTTCCAGTGTCCTTCATTAAACCTCACCTTCCTAAGCGCTCAACCCTACAACTAACCAGAGCCTGCCCAGAGGGAGCCCCTAAAAGACAATATAAACCAGTCCCAGGACATCCCCCCAAAAGACCTAGGTGGGGAGCACATTCCTAGAAGAGTCTGCAACCATACAGCCAGGCCTCACAGGAACCGGTGGGAACCACTGCAAAGAGCACTGTTCAGCCTGGTCTCAGGGGCTTCCTCTCCCACCACACAAACTGCTGGGCCTGGCCCAGAGGTCGCATGGGAGGACAGGCAGGTGGCAAGATGGAGAAAGAGAAGTCGGTGGCCCTGAGGAAGCCACCTACCTTGAACAGCACACTTCTGCGCTCAGCTAGACTTCTGAATCTGGGCCTCCTCAAAAGGAGAGGGGCTGCCCTGGCATGGTAGAAGCCAAGCAAATAGGGTGGCATGGAGGAAGCTGCAGCCGTTCTGGGAAAGCCTTGGAGGTCAGTCTTCCTGCAGATATGACAAAGCAGAATCACTGACTTGTGAAGTGAAAGTTTTGGTTTTAGAAGCTCTGGGCAACCAAGAAAGTATCCTTTTAGAGCTGGGGGATGGAGGTAGAGGGGTAGGGAGGTGTTCCTGAGACTACCCAGAGAATGCCATTTTTTCCTACCCCCCCCCCACTTTACAAACCACAGGGAAGAGAGAAACACAGGGCTCCAGGTCCCTGCATGTCTGCCAAGAAACACTCCAGGAATCAGAGAATCCAAGACTGAATTCCCAGATCTGCGTGCAGCCTTACAGAGATTTCCTGGGATGATGTCAACTCTCATGACAGCTCAGAGTAAGATAGCACTCCCCTGAGTGGCCATCACCTATGTCCACATTAACCTGTTTGGGGGAGGGAGCAGGATACAAGGCTAGAGAGGAGGTTCCCCAATTAAGAACACTTGTTACTCTTGCCGAGAAGCGGGTTTGGTTCCCAGCATCCACATGGTGGTTCACAGCCGTCCATAATTCCAGAGGGTATGACACCACAGGCACATGGCACTCATCTGGTGCGCACACACACACACACACACACACACACACACACACACACACAGAGGCAAAAGCGGTCATACAAATGGAAAAAAGAAATTATTTTTAAAAATCTCCCAAGGGTGAATTCTATGGTACATGAGTTAAATCACAGTAAATGTTATAAAGAATGGGGAGGGGCTTGCAAGAAGCCCAGGGTCCTTCTACCCACCTCTCTACCGCCATTAACTTCCTGTTGGCATTGTTCACTACAGAATAATGAAGAGGTTTGTTTGTTTGGTTGGCTTTGTTTGTTTGTTTGTTTTTTCAAGACAGGGTTTCTAGTATTGTTTTGGAGGCTGTCCTGGAACTCGCTCTGTAGATCAGGCTGGCCTCAAACTCACAGAGATCTGCCTGCCTCTGCCTCCGGAGTGCTGGGATTAAAGGCATGCGCCACCAGCGCCCGGTTGAAGTGTTTTAGCACTGGGATGTAGCTCAGTGCACGAGGGCTTGCATTTAGATGCTAGGGGAAGAATCGAGGGAAGGAAGGGAGGGGTAGGTGCACTCCTCTGATCCCAGAACTCAGGAGGCAGAGGCAGGAAGACCAAGAGTTTGGGGGCAGCTTGGGCTACATACTAATACTGTTTTTAAAAAAGTTTTCTTGCCAGGCGTTGGTGGCTCACCCCTTTAATCCCAGCACTCGGGAGGCAGAGGCAGGTGGATCTCTGTGAGTTTGAGGCCAGTCTGGTCTACAAGAGCTAGCTCCAGGACAGCCTCCAAAGCCACAGAGAAACCCTGTCTTGAGGGAAAGAAAAAAAAAGTTTTCTTCTCCCCAGTCCCCAAGTTTGCGTGCTTCTTTCTCTGTTCCTTCCTTCTCCACTGAAGTCAGAACACATGGAGTGTTAGTGTACGGTAAGTCCACAATGCCAGGTTCCTTCTGTCCCTACTGCTATTTCCCTTTGCAAAATAAAGATACTATCTTTAGGATCTGCTTGCCTAGAGTTACAAGGAAAGAGAGAGACAGTTGTAGGAAAGATAGGAAAGCAGGACTGAGTGTGGATCCTGTCTAAAATAAATCTGTGCAATCTTGGGACAGTTGTCAAGAGCCTCTCTGAGCTTTTTGCTGTTGTTTTACCTATAACAACTCCACCATATTCTAAGGGGTTATTACTGTTATTCCTCAGTATGTATTCCTCCCACCACTTTCTCCCTTTCAAGAACTTAATTCCAGGAAATATCCTTACACACACACTCCCACCCAAAATGGCCCCGTTGGTCCTAGGATGACCTCTGCTGGGCTCCACCAGAGGGACTACTTCCAGTGTCAATATGGTGTCTTACCTGAGATGGCCCTCCACAGCTCCCCCACTCCCTGCCTTTTGTATCCTTTCTACAACACTGAGAGTGTGGGTTGATTAGGGACACCCCTCTGATGGCTGTGTCTTCTTCTCATGCCTTACCAGGTCCTCTCTGAACGAGAACCAACCCAGTCACAAACTTAGGCTGAGAAGCCCCCGCACGTTGATCTGAGAACCAGGGACCCTCCTCCTTGGTTCCCAGTTACATCACCTGTTCCGGGGAATGCCTGCAGCAGCAGCCCCCAGCTGTCTGCATCCCTGGATACTTCCCACCTGCCCCTCCCCTACAGGCCTAGCCAGGTTCCAGTGCCTTTGCCAGGCCTGAGAGACATCTATAGAAGTCCCCAGTTGCTGCTGTCACTCTGGGAGAGACGTCTGGCTGGGTGCAGCGAGAAGAACAAAACAGGTGTGGCTGCCAGGGAGGGCTGGCCAGCAGGCCAAGGGACAGAGACACCCTTTCTTCAGCAGCAAGAGCTGTCAGCTTCAGCACAGCCCCAGGCTCACTCCAGAACCAGCCCTGGACAAACTCCCTTGTTGGCTGTTGGCTAGAACTCAGCTTCTCTACATCATTGCGTGAGCCAGGAAGGATCCCCAGAGACCCAGTGTGTGCAATGGAGCCTGCTTTAAAGTAAAAACAAATACTGGTAAGTCACAGACTGGAATCCAAAATTCATAGTCTAGGGAGTATCCAGGTCAAAAACACAGGTTAAGGACCTGAGTTCAAATCCTGGCTCACACTAGCCTGGTGACCTTGAGTAGGCTTACCTACACTGTTGCTCGTCTGCAAAGTGGGGACAAGATAGTTCTAAATGTCCGGCCGACACTAGCTCTTTGATTTGTGGTGGTTATCATTTTCCTCACTTCTAGCCATACGCACCGTATGATCCACAAGCCACCAGAGTGCCCATTCCTCAGTAGTTCCTACCACCTACTGCCTAAAGCTGGGGTGGTGAACCAGACTGCTAAGACACTCGCATTCTCAGGACCTTCTAATACCATCCAACTTCCCAGCCCCAGTCCCCGCCCAACACAGACAGATGACCTGAGCTTCCTAAGATGTCTCCTCCTCACTCTTCCTTCTGCCGTGGTCTGCAGGTAACCCGCGCCCAGGTCTCCCAGCAGTACTTCTAAGACGCCTTCCTTCATTCCTCCAAGCAAGGGAAGCTGATGTATGCATGGTGCACTTTACCAGGCTGGCGATTGAGTGCTGGCTAAGTGGTCACCACTGCCCCCACCAAAGGAGCCTCTGACAGGACAGGCTAGAGTGTCTGTGCTGCAGGGCGGCCTGTGGGCTCCAGCTGCCGCGTACTTTGCTTAGCTTCTGTTTCCCTTCCTCTTGACAGCACTTCCTCTGCAAACCCCTGACGCCCAAAGCCCTCTTAGATCTGTTTCTACACAGTGGTCCTTGGGTTTTCTTCCCTCCATCATGTACACATCATCCTACTCTGTCTGCTTGCTGACGTCTCTAGCTCAGAGCAACATGGGCCAGATCAGAATTCCTCCAAGGCACAGCTAAGATCTCGGTAACCCTGATGTCTGCGCAGTATATGCACTCGGTGGGTGCTTGTGAATACTTTTGGCAAGAACTTAAATAAAACCATATGTAGGAAGATGGCAAGTAATCAATAAATGGATCATAATTTCATTGCTACTTTCATCGCTATTCCATTTGATTGATTCTCTGGTGTATATTACGCCCATTTTAGCACCTCTGAAATCAGGGCGCTGTATCGGTTTGGTTGGATTTTGGTTTCTGTGTGTGAGAGAAGATCTTACTATGTTGCTCAGGCTGATTTCAAACTCCTGGGTTTAATCCATCCTCTTAATTCACCTTCGAAACTGGTCCCATAGGCCTATGTGTATGATTTAAGGACCATGATTTTCTTTTCAATATTTTTTTTTTTTGGTTTTTATGAGACAGGGTTTCTCTGTATTGTTTTCGAGGCTGTTGGTCCAGTCCAGCCTTGAACTCACAGAGATCCGCCTGCCTCTGCCTCCCTAGTGCTGGGATTAAAGGCATGCGCCACCACCGCCCGGCTTTTTTTATTATTTTTAAAGAGTGTTTGTGTGTGTATCAGTATATGAATATGAGTACAGGTGCCCAGGGCCCAGAATGGGCATTGACTCCTCTGGAGCTGGAGTTACAGGTGGGGTGAGCCACTGATATGGGGACCCAGCTCAGCTCTTCTTCAAGAACAGTATGTGTCCGCCTCCTTACTTGCTGAGCCAACTCTCTGGCTCCATTTTCTCTTTTTAGCTTGACATAAAATAACAGTACATATTGGAATCAGTGCTTCTTTAGGTTCAGCGGCACACGATATTATTGTTATTACTGGCACGTGGTCTCCTGGGTCCTAGAGCCTACAACATGAAGTCCACTGTGTTACGAGGCCTCCTATCTAAGCTAGGTAGCTGGCAAGCATTCAGGCTCTCATAAAGTAATCTACAATGTTCCATGGAAATGAAAGACTCCTGTGTCCAGGTACCTCAAAAAAAGCCCAATGAAAGCAGGGTCATAGCATGGGGTGCAGACTGAACTTGAGCAAAGATCTAAGTTTGACTCTTCCTCAGTCTTCTGGATGATCCTACACAGGACCTACCTAACACATCTGTCAAGGGCACCCTGGGAGGAAGCCATGATCCCCATTTTATAGACAAGGGAGCAGAGGTTGGAAAAGGCAAAGCTACTCTCTCCCAAGGTCATAGAGATCCAATTCAACCTTGGATTCAGATTCTATTTTTCCCAAATAAGAAAGCTGAATAAAATGAGGGATATAGACTGGACCTGGAAAGTCATTCTCCATCTCAGACATATTTTATCTAACCCACATAGTGTCTTTTTTCTTTCTTTCTTTCTTTCTTTCTTTCTTTCTTTCTTTCTTTCTTTCTTTCTTTCTTTTGTTGTTGTTGTTGTTGTGTTTCGAGACAGGGTTTCTCTGTGGCTTTGGAGGCTGTCCTGGAACTAGCTTTTGTAGACCAGGCTGGTCTCAAACTCACAGATATTCACCTGCCTCTGCCTCCCGAGTGCTGGGATTAAAGGCGTGCGCCACCACCGCCCAGCTGATCTCTCATTTTTAACTGACATTACTACCAAGTTTTTGGCTTTGGTTTTTTAATCAAGAGATTTAGAGACTGGGGAACTCACTTGGCAGCTAAGAGAACTGACTGCTTTTCCATAGGACCTGGGTTCAATTCCCAGCACCCACATGGAGGCTCACAACTGTCTGTAACTCCGTTCTAGGGATTCAGATGGCTTCATCTGGCCTCACTGAGCATTGCACACAAGTAGTACACAGACAGATACACAGGCAAATCTCCACATGCATAAAATAAAAATAAATAAACCTCAAAAATTTAAATAAATCAGAACATTTAATCTGAAAATTAAGGGTTCTGGTTTGTCATTTAAAAAAAGTTGCAGCCAGGTCATGATGGCACAGGCCTTTAACCCCAGCACCAGGGAAGCAGGCGGATCTCTGTGAGTTCAAGGCCAGCCTGGTCTTCAGAGCAAGTTCCAGGACAGCTAGGGCTACACAGAGAAACCCAGTCTCAAAAAAGCAAAAAAAAAAAAAACAACAACAACAATGAAAACCCCAAACAAACAAAAGCCAATCAGTTGGAGCACTGACTACATCTAACTTCCCTTGGAGAAGGAGCGGGTGGTATAGCAGGGAGGCATGGCGGTCACTCTCGTTACACACTACACATCTAATCTTCTGCTGTTCCTGGTCCTTCCTCAGCCATGGGCGACTGTCATTTATCATCTCACCTGCTCCACTTGTCATTTCGTTCCCCCGGTTCCCTGCTGGCCTTTTCAGTGCATAACCCTAGACCAGGTGAACTCCAGGCCCTCTCAGCTTCCAAAGCCTGAGGTTTCTCTCCAGGCACTCTCTGGGCAGCCACCCACCAAGCAGGTCACCTCTGGACCTCCTGCCAGAGCTCCCCAGACAAGCCCCTGCCCCCTTAACCTCCTACCTCTACCTCAGGGCTCCCCTGGGCCTGTCACTTGTACACCCCACCCACAGCCACATCCCCATATCTCACCCCCCACTCCACCCCCCACCCCCGGCAGTCAAAGGCTGAAGGCCAGAGTCACTAGAGTGGTCAACCCCTCAGGTGTGAGGGTGAATCAGACAAGATTGTAGAGAAGGCCCCACCCAGGCAGGGAAGGAGGAAGGACTTTGTATTTCCCAAGAGAGAAGCCGGAGATATATGTGAGCAGGGTTTCTGTAGTTGAAGGAGATGAGCAGGGTTTGACACATGCGGAAGCACAGAGAGCAGATCGTCAGGAGGGAAAATGTAGTCTCAGCAGCGATTTTAGGATATGCAAATCAGAATACCATTAAGGCCCCATTACAGCTGAGTCAACTTGAAAATAAATAAATATTTAAGACAAGAAAGCTGCCGTTGGGAGGGCTGTGGGGAAACAGCCATACACACACTGCCGTGCTACTGTAATCTGCTTAACCCTTTCCTAGAATGAGCCCTGACATTGTATTGCAAGGATCTAAGACTCTGATGGGGAAATTATGAAAACAATCCAAAATACCAGCAAACACAGTTGGAGTAAGATGCTCACAGCAACTGTTTATAGAGCTGAGAAATGGAAATCTACTTTGATTATGGTATGGCGTGATGAAATGTGAATGGGCTCGATTCACGGACCAATCCGAGGAAATCACTTGAAGTGACAAAATTAGCCCAAAGAGATGTGTAAAGGCAGACTTGCAAACAGACGCCCACAGGAACATCAGACGCAATCAGGTGAGAAGTCTGAACAGAGCAAATTGTTGCTGTGTAATGTTTGTCCTGTCAGGCTGATGAAGACGGTTAAAATGACAAGGATTGATGACGAGCCTGAGCAGGATGGTAAGCCACAGATCAAATTTCTTCAAGGTACAATACCCCTGGGCCAAGGTCCCAGAGTGGGCAGATAGGCTCAAGCCCCAGGCATGGAGATGAGGGCAAGAAAGGAACACAAACAGGTAGGGGGCAGGGTTAGTAGCTGTGGGCAGAAGGACCCCAGAACCTTATCTGGACAATCTGAAAGACACCTGCCACAGAAGAAATGAAGTTACCCAAATAAACCCACACCATTTAACCTCCAGCATTCTCCGAGCTGACTCTTATCTGCATGTGTACTCTCAATTTTACTAATACCTTGTTTTAGCAGCTTCGAAGGTGATACCGGAGCTCTTTGTGGGCTAGCCTAGGAACCCAGAAACCATTTATAGCACTGTTTCTATGGAAATGTGTTTCAAGCTTCAAAAAAAAAACAGAGCAGCTGACAAGTCTGGGGCACACACATGGTCTCTAAATTAGGGAACTGAGATGGGCTGGTCCTGAGCTCGGGAAGATGGCCTGCTGCTTAGATTCTGCAGTAATTACCATTCAGCCACCATCAGCGATCAGAGCGGAGCTCACTGTCAGTCAGGAGAGGGTGAGGATGGAGCAGAGCACCTAGGAATGGACACTGTGTGCAAGGGAGACGCGATAGCCTGGATCCTGATTCCAATCACACGCACAAACATGCTTGCCCCAGAAGACACGGTATCCTGAAAACCCCTCGAGCATCCAGGCAAGCCCTGACCGAACCCACACTTTTTCCAATTCCTCTTTGATCTGGGCAAGCCTCCAGCCACAAGGCCCTTCTTCAATCTGATCACAGACCGAAGAACTCCCAGATCTTGGACAGTTCTGGAATTTGGTTTTAGCTGACATATGCTTAGAATAACAGGATCTTAGATAGGTCTGGACATATTCAAGCCTATCTCAAGTTCTGTTACAGTGGCCCTTGTTTCAGCAAGCTCCAACCTGCCCACTCAAGATAGCCCCACCTCCCCTAAGACTTCAAACCCTGCCAAGGAGTCTCCACTTCCTTGCTGGGGTCACAATCCTGGGCTGGTCACAAGGAAAGGACAAAGAAAGGGTCTCCAAACAGAAACAACACACGTCAAAAAAGTGCCCCACTCTGAAGGAAAGGCTTCACAACAGCAGGGCCGTCGGCAGGGCCCCACACATTCAGAAATGCCCTGATTTGACAAGGTGATCGGAAAAAGGGTGGCTCTCATCGGCAGTTCAGCATCAAGTGGCAAGCTGGTGACAATATGGGGACTCAGACACTCTCTTTGATGAGCCAAAGGTGGACCGGATGGAGGTGAAAGCTTCATATGACCAGCACGGAAAAAAAACCAGCTCTAAGTTTAATGTGAAAATATGAACAGGGGACACACCCAAGACACTACCTCACTGGGGCCCCACCTGGCTGACGCTGGACTGTGGAGGTCAGCTTGTAGAGCACACCCTCCTGCTACCAATTAGGGAGTGCAGAAGAGAGAGCTGCTCTCACCACCTGTGGCTAGGGCTCCCAAGTGTGTGGGTGCCTCAAGGGCTACATGCTCATTCTGCAGGCTGGTTCTTTGGAAACTGAGACTTAAGCAACCTGCTGGTCTCTGAGCCACCTGGAGTTGCAAGTACCAGCGGCAGGAGGCAGGGTCCTCATGCCATGGAACCTAGATGGTAGGCGGCTAGCCAGCCTGTTTGGTCAGGTCGATCTGAATTCCCCAAACCCATCATACAGCGACAGCGATCAGTAAGTCAGAGCAGTTGGTTTTTTTTTCTGATGGTAACAGATGGGAGGCTGGGAGTCCCTCC